AGAGAGAGAGAGAGAGAGAGAGAGCATACATTGTAGTATTCAGCAAACTTCCTATCTGCTGAATAGAGATCTTCTCTCAGAGCAGCCTCTTCCCTTTCAATTTCCTCAATAATTAACTTTACTCTGCCAACAAAAATATCCAAGGGATTGAAATCATAAACTACCAGATTCATAACCATAAAATGAAATGAAGAATATATCTAAGATACATAATAATTAATAAGCCAAATCCTCCATAACCTACCATGTAACCATATATACTCTACAAGCTATTGTCGTATCAGGAAACAGCTAATTAGGCAGTCCTCATATCAGAAAGCACATGATTGCATGGATGGTCAAACCAGACTCAGTTTATGATTTCACATCTTGTTAACTGGACTGAGTCTTAAATCACTGAGCATAGTTTTGAAGGCAATGCCTAGGCAACAAGGCATCCAAGGAGGGTTACCTCACCCAACTGCCTAGTTGATTTTTGTACAATGAACCACACTATTTTTTTATTTTCTGATATTATAATATTATACTTGGCATTATTACTCTAAATTATTCATTTTTTTTTAGTTTCTATAATGTTTTCATAATTTGTATGTTGTTTCTTTTCATTGCTTTCCTATTTGTTAGGGTTTGATCAACACACAAGTCAGTGGGCACTATGTTGAACCCTTGAAAACTTTAAAACCTGAACCGATAACTAAAGAAGAACTTGAAGCTTTTATCTCATCGACACACAAGAGCAACCAAGTATGTTTTCCAAGACAAAAACAGGGTGCCACCCCTTCTTTTATTTTCTAAATTTTTTCCTTTCCTTCCTTTCCACCCCTTCTTTTCTAAGGATAAAAACAGGGCTCAGAACCTATATTTTCGTCGTTTTCTATTCTTTTTCTTCTCAGGAATATGTTGATTTTCTATGTTTTGATATAAAATTTGTCCTTGTTTGATGAAAATTATTGGTAATTATTAGCAAAAGATGATTGCTGTTTGTAATGAAACCTAAGGAACTACCCTAGAATTTAGATTTTATTATTTAAAAAAAAAACCATTGCCTAGGCATCTAGGGAACAAGGTGCTCTCTTGTTGCCTAGCTTTTCCCTTGGCATCTTGACAACTATGTCACTCAGTTTGAATGACTTGGTATTGATCCCGAGAGTAATCTCATAGATCTTCAACACTCAAAATGTAAAATTTTGGAACTCAAAAATGAAATATGTAGAGAAAAACAAGAAAATAATACAAATGTAAAGTTAAAAGCAGAAGCCAGAAGCCTGAATGTTCTTTGAAGTTTGGTGCAAAACAACAAAGATTATTAGCAAAGTTGGGAGGAAGAGTGTTATGGGCCCGGGTGTAGGATCTCGTCACGGGTCGGTCCACGGGAAGAGCCTCTAGTTTCCCCTTGCCCCTCCCTTTGCATGCAGACCCTATCGTGGCGACCTAAGGGGTGATTTGTCCAAGAGATCACCCTAACTCTCCTYWACTCTTCTCTT